CATATGGAAATTGCAAGGGATGCAGAATAGCCAAAACAATCCTGAAAAAGAATAGCAACGTAGGAGGTGTCGTACTTCCCAATTTCAAAGCTTACTCTACAAAGCATCAGTAATCAAGACAGTGTGGTACAGGCACAAGGACAGACATATATAGAATAGTGGAATAGAATTGAGAGTCCAGAAGTAAACTCACACAAATGTCGTCAACTGATTTTTTACAAGGCCGTCAAGACTATCCAACGGGGGAACGTGGTACTGGGACAACTGTATAGCCATATGAAAAAGACTGATGTCGGACCCCCTATTTCACACTGTATACAAAAATTAACTTAAAATAGATCAAAGACTTACATGTCAGAGCTAAAACTATAGAACTCTTAGAAGAAGAAAAAAAGTTGCTGTTGAGCTGATTCCGACTCGTAGCGATCTCGCATGCGTCAGAGTACAACTGTGCTCCATCAGGTTTTATGTGTTTATTATTTAATATTTTATTGTGTTTTCAGTGAGAGTTTATACAGCATATTAGGTGCCCATTTAACAATTTCTGCACAAATTATTCAGTGACATTGGTTACATTTTTCACATTGTGTCAACGTTCTCATTAATTCCATTCTGGTTGTTCCATTTCCAGTACTCTCGTTTCCCGACCTCCTTACCTTCTCGTCTTTACTTTAGGGTAATTGTTGACCATTTGCTTTCATATAGATGATTTTTTTAAAGGAGCATAGTATTTCTATGAGCCACTCTGTTGTTTAGCTAAAAGGTAACCTCAGGGCCTAGTTTTGGTTCAAGGTTTAAAGAGTATCTCAAGGCAATAGCTTCGAGGAGTCCTCCAGTTCAACTGGTCCAGTAAGTCTAGAATTTTTAAGAATTTGAGTTCTGTTCCACTTTTTCCTCCCATTCTGTCAGGGTCCATCTGTTGTGGCCCTGGTCAGAACGGTCGGTAGTGATAGCAAGACACCATCTAGTTCTTCTGGTCTCAAGGTAGACGAGGCTATGGTTCATGTATACTGTTAGTCCGGTAGACTAGATTCTTCTCTGAGTCTTTGGTTTCCTTCTTTCTCCTTTGCTCCATAGGAGTAGAGACAATAGTTGTATCTTAAGTGGCCACTTGCAAACTTTTAAGACCCAGACACTTCTCGCCAGACTAGAATGTAGAACATACACTTTATAAACTTTATGTCAATTGACCGAGTTGTTCAATGAGACTATGGTTCTAAACCTTCACCCAGAAAACCAAACTCATGAGGTGTTTGGTTAATGTCTTAAGAAGTATCTGTAACTGTGCCCCTGTGTGGCTTATTACGTATATGAATATATATGCACGCACACACATACCTATATATACATATGTACACACATGTATATACCTGTACACATGTATGCTTATATATAATCATACACTTTTTTTTGTGTGTGTGTTGCTTTTGCAGAATTATATGTCTTATCCTTTACCAAAAACATCCTTTTCTCTTGTGTATTTTCTTAGTGGCATCATTTACCTTGGTCAGGGTCCATGCACTTCACCCATACTCAGTGCTACCTTTCACATCACCAAAAATAACAAGTATCTGCTGTCTAGAGAGTGATTCCCTCTTTCCTCTCTCCATCCCTGGTAACTACCAATGAATGTTGATCTCTGTATATATAGCTATTCTTTTTTTTTTTTTTTTTTTTAGTGAAAGAGCGATCATACACTGTTTATCCTTTTGTGATTGACTTATTTCTCGCAGCATAATGTCCTCCAAATTCATTCACATTATAATATGGCTAATGATCATGAGCATTTTTTCATGTGTTTGTTGGCTGCTTGAATGTCCTTTTTGTCAAGTGTCTGTTCATGTCCTTTGTCCATTTTTTAATTGGGTTGTTTGTATTTTTGTTGTTGAATTGTTGAAATTTTCTATATATTTTAAAGATTAGAACCCTATCAGATATGTCATTCCCGAAGATTTTTTCGCATCCTGTAGTTTGGCTCCATAAGGGTTTTCAATGACTGATTTTTCAAAAGTAGATCACCAGGACTCCAGACTTCCTGGAGCCATGAAGATTAGATGAACTCCTGAAACTATTGCCTTGAGATAATCTTTAAACGTTAAATCAGAAATATCCCCTGAAGTCTTCTTAAAACCAAACGATAGTTTAACTTAACGATTAAAAATGTCTGCCTTGAGCATTATGCTCTTTTAAGAACTACCCATATGGGATCAAATTGAGGACAGCAGCTCAAAGATTAGATAGGAACCTTAGGGGGCAGTGAGTTAACATATGGGGGAGGAGCAACTCAGAAAAGGAGGATAAGAATGGTTACACAACTCGAAGAACGTAATCATTGTCACTAAATGGTACATGTAGAAACTGTTGAATTGTATGCTTTGCTGTGTATATTCTCAACAACAGTAACAAAATTATATATATATTTAAAAAGTAGATCGCTAGACCTTTCTTTGATCGCGCCTCTGGGGTGGACTTTTTGGCTAGCAGCCAAGCATGTTAACCATTTGTGCCACCCAGGGACTCCTCTTAGAACTAAATCTTCATGACCTTGGATTTGGCAAAGAATTCTCAGATATGACTCCAAAAGCGTAAGTAACGAGAAAAAATAGATGTATTGGACTTCATCAAATAACTTTTGTGCTTCAAAGGACTTCATCAAGAAAGTGGAAAGACAACCCACAGAATGGTAGAAAATATTTGCAAATCATATCTCTGATAAGGATTTGTATGTACAATATATAAAGAGTGCTTAACAGTCAACAAAAAGACAAATAACCCACTTTAAAAATGACGGAGGATCTGAAGAGACGTTTCTCCAAGGAATATCTACAAATGGCCCATACACACATGAAAACATGCGCACCATCAGCAGTCATCAAAAAAATGCATATCAAAACTACAACGATAATATAATAGCTAGAGAATTAGAATACAGTGTAACAGGGGCTGTAGTAGGGAACATACAGTAGTTACAGCAGCACATGCAGGAGGAAGCACCTAGCCCAGACCTGGGGATCAGGGACAACTTAACTAAGGAAGTGGCATCTAAAGAACACACACAAACACAATGAGATGCCACTTCACACCCACTAGGAAGGCTATAATCGAAGACTTAATAACAGGTGTTAGCAAGGATGTGGAAATATCAGAACCCCCAAGCGCTGCTGGTGGAAATGTGAAATGGTACAGCTGTTGCAGAAAACAGCTTGACAGTACCTCAAAAAGTTAAACATAAAATTACCATATGACCCAGCAATTCCACTCCTGGGTATGTATATACTCTAGAGAAATGCAAACATATCTTCAAACAAAAGCTTGTATACAAATGTTTATAGCAGCATTATTCGTAACAGCCAAGAAGTGGAAACAATCCAGATGTCCTGTCTGACAAATGGATAAACAAAATATGGTATATCCATACAATGGTATATTATTCAACGATAAAAATGAATGAAGAACATACTACAACTTGGATGAACCTTGAAAACATGTTAAAGAAGTCAGATACAAAAGACACGTATTATATGATTCCATTCATGTGAAAGTCTAGAATAGGGAAATCTATAGAGACAGAAAGTAGGTTGCTTAGGACTGGGGGAGGTGGGAGGATGAGGGATGATATAGCTAAAGGATTGCTGTTAGTTGCCATTGAGTTGGCTCTGACTTGTGGATCTTATATAGAACAGAACAAAATGTTGCCCGATCCTGCACCGTCATCGTGCTCTTTGGCCTGTTTGTGTCCATTGTTGCAGCTGTTGTGTCACGGCATCTCATTGAGGGTTTCCCTAATTTCCAGTGACCCTCTGCTTTACCAAACAGATGTCATTTTCTAGCAATTTGTCTTTCCTGAATGGCGCTTGGCTGCTAATCAGAAGGTTGGCAGTTCGAACCCACCAACAGCTCTGTGGGAGAAAGATGTGGCAGTCTGCTTCCGTAAAGATTTACAGCCTTGGAAACTCTATGTGGAACAGTCCTGCTCTGTCCTGTAGGGTCACTATGAATTGGAATTGACTCGATGGCAGTGGGTTTGGTTTTTTGGTCTTTCCTGATGACCTTTCCAAAGTAAGCAAGTTGAAGTCTTGCCATCCTCGCTTCTAAGGAATGTTCTAAGTGTATTTCTTCCAAAACTGATTTGTTTGTTCTTTTGTCATCCAAAAGGCAGTGATGAACATGTTTTAAAATTGAGTGTGGTGATGGTTGCACAACTCCATGAATGTATTAGAAACCATTGAATTATGCACTTTAAATGGATGAATTGTATGTAAAGCTGTTAATGAGGGAGGGAGGAAGGAAGGGAGTTCAAACCAATGAAATGACAGAAGCAGTCAGGTCTCAAGAGTCTCGGGCAGCTCTTGGCAGCCTGCAGGTAGGGCCGGGGGATGTTTTAGAAAACACTTACGCCAGGAGCCCTGAACTGGTCACCTGCTGGACAGCTGGCCTGGGGCTGGTCCTGACAACTCTAAAGTTCCCGTGGATGGTGAACAACTACACAGTTGAGGCTCATTGTTCGCAGGAAAACTCCAAGGCCAGCATGTGCACCCCGCCTTGGAAGGAATCTTCTCTCTGGCTTCAGGGCTCTTGCGGGTGGAGGAGTGGAGCGTGTGACTGGGGAGCAGGTGCCTGCCTTCCCCTGGCTGCCCAACTTGTTTTTAAAGTGTTTCGTTATTGTTATATATATCTCACATACAGAAGAGTACCTGTAATGTATATGTTCAGTTTAACAATAATAATAGAATTAAAACCCACATAACGACTGTATTTCTTCGTGGCTTGGTTTGTAGTTTAAATCTTTTTAGTAGAGAATTCCCCTCACCTGAGCGACTGGGCTTCCTGTTGGGGGTACTGGGGGCTGGCTCTCATTGCCCTGTGGTCTGTCAGCGGTAGCAGGAGCCACATGGAGGAGTGAGTGAGCACGCTCCATCCTCCGCCTGGGCCCACCTAGGACAAAGCTGTCAGTGCAGGCTGGCATGTGCCCACAGTGACAGCCTGTCTGTGCCCCATAGGTCCTGGCCCAGTGGAGGGAGGCAGCATCAATGCAGATCTACTGCCGGCAGCAGGAAGACTGTGCTGTCAGCGAGGCCCGAGTTGTGCTGGATAGGGGTGAGTGCCCCATTTAGAGTCCTGTTGACGAGAGGATTTTGAATGATGCAGAACTTTCTTAGCATTCCATTTGCCCCACCATAGTCTTTGTCTCCTCCTGGAATTCTCTTCCCAGCTGATTGCCAGCCAGTTTATGTTAAAATGGAAGGCCAAGGCTTGAAATCCACAGACGTATAAAGAAATAAAGCTGGAGTGGTAGAGTTTGACGGGGTTGGGGTGGAGCGAGAGGCAGCAGGCAGCAAGATGCCACCTGAAGCTGCTTCTCTCCACTGGGACTGTGGGATGGGCACCTCCTTAGAGGGCGTGGTGCATATGGTGGGCCCAGGGATTGTCATGTCCATTACAGATGGTACACAGGTTCTGAGCCAGGGATTTGGAAGACTAGGTGACAAGACACTACATTCTCTCAGTAGGTGTGCAGTAACTGCCATAGAACCATTTCTTGGCTGATGTAAAAGCCTCAGAGTCTCCTGTGCTCCTTGGCAGCCTGCAGGTGGGGCTGGGGGCTGGAGGAGGAGGAGCTAAGACGAAGGCCTCATGAGACAATATGGCAGAGCGCTTACAAAGCACAGGCTTGGGCCATATCCTGGCTCTGCAACCTTCTGAGCCCACAGTTCCTTCATCCGTACAGTGGGGATAATAGTACCTCTCTCTTAGGGTCATCATGTACACATAAATATAGTGCCTAAAGCAGTGCCCCAAGAAATGTTAGCACAGTGCTGAGGGTTGGCTCCAGGCATGTGATCACCACCTCCCCTGCACTCCCCTTCAGGCCCTGGAGGGCCCCTTTTTTTTTTTAATTGTACTTTAGGTGAAAGTTTACAGCTCAAGTTAATCTCTCGTACAAAATTTTATACACATATTGTCATGTGACACTAGCTGCAATCCCTACAATGTGACAACACACTGCCGCTTTCCACCCCGGGTTTCCCATGTCCATCCACCCAGCTCCCATCCCTTCCTGCCTTCTCATTCTGCCTCCAGAGAGGAGCCGCCCATTTGGTCTCGTGTATCTGCTTTAACTAAGAAGCATACTCTTCATAAGTATTTTATGTTTTATAGTCCAGTCTCATCTTTGTCTGAAGAGTGGTCTTCGGGAATGGTTTTAATTCTGGGTTAACGTAGCGTCCAGGGGCCATGGCTTCAGGGATTCTTCCAGTCTCAGTCAGACCATTAAGTCTAGTCTTTTTATGTGTGTTTGAGTTTCTATTCCACACTTCTCTCTCACTCCGTCAGGGATTCTCTGTTGTGTTCCCTGTCAGGGCGGTCATTGGTGGTAGCCGGGCACCATCTAGTTCCTCTGGTCTCAGGCTGATGAATTCTCTGGTGTATGTGGCCCTTTTGTCTCTTGGGCTAATATTTTCCTTGTGTCTTTGGTATTCTTCATTCTCCTTTACTCGAAGTGGGTTAGGACGAATTAATGTATCTTAGATGGCTACTCGCAACCTTTTAAGACCCCAGACGAGGAGGGCCCCATCTTGGCAGCAGTGCTCTGGTGTGAATCCTCTTCTCTTGTCTTTAAAAGAAACTTGTCTCAGGTCCTGAGAAAAATAGCAATATAAAAAAGTTCAGCCAGAGGAAAGCACTCCCCAAAGGGAGACTCTGGTAACAGGAACACAAGGCAGGACTCGGCAGTCACCCTGGGGGCCTGGGGAGTGTGGAGACTCTGCCGTCAGACTGCTGTGCTCTCCTTCCCCGAGGGGCTTGGCTGTCTCCACTTCTCCAAGGGAGCTTTGGTTTCCTCTCTCATAAAACAGGGCCGCCGCCTCCTCCAAGCTTCAGCTTCACTGGTGGGCTCCTCAAGCACACTCAGACCAAGGTTCTTCTGCCTTCTGGTCCTGATGGCATCTTGAGTGTAGCTCCATAAGGGCCCCTGGCCTTGCTGTGGTGGCTGTGCACAGACCTGTGGCTCTGGGTAGCCCCAGGGCCCAACAGTGGATCTGGTTCCAGGCCAGGCACAGTCATGAAGGTGATCACTGAAGGTGGCCAGCGTAGTCCTTACAGAGCAGCTGCAGTCACCTGTGGTTCTACTGAGTGTTGCTGGACACCCCAGCCTTCTCCAGTCTAAACTCACCATTACACAGTTGCTCATGGAAATCCTACTAACGAGCAGACTCTGGCTGGGGTCTGCCCTAGGCTGTGTCCAGACTGTGTTTCAGCGCTGGTGGGACCGCAGCCAGAGTGTGGCCCAGGAGAGAGTCCAGATGAAGAGAGCGGCCCAGCATCACCGGCTCCGACTGCTGCAGGAGGCAGTGGCACAGTGGAAGGCCCACCATCTGGGGTGTATCAGGAAAACGGTGAGGCGGCGTCAGCAGCTCTCCAGGTTCCCCCCATGTGGCAGTGGGCATCCAAGCCAGGAGACCAGCTCTCGGGAAGAACTCAGAGCAGCTGATGTGGGTACTGGGTGGCTTGGGGTCCTATGGGAGCAATGCTGCTGAGCCTTTCTGGGCATTTAGTGAAGAGTGTAGGTGGCCAGCCACAGAACCTGGTCTCCTCCAGGTGATGGCTCAGCAGAGGAACCTGGTGTCCCATGGAACCATGGCTTAACAGAGCTGGGGGACCCCCCCACCTGGCGCATGTGGCCCTGGCATCATCAAACACCCCTTCTGCCAATGGGAGGCCCATTCACCAGGAGCCTCTGCCCTGGGTGGTCAGGGTTGATGTTCCATGTAATTGTGGGCCATGGGGTACCTAATTCCCATTGGGACTCACCCCCCACCCCCGCCCCATGTGCCTGCTCCCCCAGCTCCTGCGGAGGCTAGGTGCCCAACTGCTGGCCCAGAGACTCAGCCGGTCCTGCTTCTGCCAGTGGAGGCGGCAGGTGGGCACCATCGACTTCCCCTTCCCCTCTACCCTGCCCCCTACCAGCTCATCAGCCCATACCCCTAGTTCAGTGTTTTTAGTGTCACCCTTGCCCAAAGCCACTGCCCCTCTGCCTCAGCCTCCCACCCCCAGTCAGTTCTTGGCACCGTCAGCTTCCCTCACCTGCAGCCTGTGTAAGGTCAAGTCACCCCGAGGCCCTATTTGCAGTGTCCCATTCAAAAATAACAGCAGTGTAATATCCAAAAATTCTCTGAAGAGCATTTTAAGTCTTTCAGGCTCTCCTAGAATGCCAGGAGGGACCACACCAATTGTGCACAGCAGAACATACTCAGGTCCACGCATCTGTCTTTCTCTGGATGCAGGGCAGAGCTGTCCCGACCTCTCTTCATTCTCACCCAGCCCCTATGGCCGCTCCTCTGTGAGCCCAGTGCCCTCTTGCCCTTTCCCAGTGAGCATTATCGACCCACCAGTCAGAATGATCTGGCCCTTTCTGGTGGAAGGAGGGAGACCCTCAGCTAGACTGGGATCTGAGAGAGACGCTCTGGCTAGGGAGATAACACAGACAGCCTCCCTGAAGAGGTGACATTCAAATGATGGAGTCTTTCTGGCAACTCCGGTTTTGCTCCTTTACCTAATACCTTAATACCCTGATTCTGTCCAACCAAGGCCCACCAGCCAGGCAGGCAAAGGTGGGAGCGGACAGGCTGGCGGTACTCTAGGTTGATACTTTCTTCCCGTCCTAGCTGGCCGGTGAGGCAGGTGGAGCCGAGCTGGAGCTGTGCTTGTGGTGCAGGGACACTGCGCAGCCCTCCTCTGCTCCCGTCTCCTGGCCCCTTTGTGTCTCTTGCCCACACACAGAAGTTTCTGTCCCCAGGGCTAGCTGCCCCCCATCACCCCACTTCTCACAGAAAGTTACAGTCCCAGATCTTGGCACTTGCTTCTCTTCCATTTCCTCTGGCTTTTCCATGAATCACCTTTCCACCCCAGCAAGTGGTTCTTCAGGGTCCGGCCCCGCACCCTCTCAAGCCCAGCCTCGCATCCTTCTGGCCTGACTGGAGGGCTCTGCCATTTCACACCTCTGTCTACACGTGTCGTTCCCACCCGTCTCACTCCAAATGGCTTCAGCAATACCACAGTGACTATTCCTCGCAGGTCTCTGGGTTGACTAGGTGGTGGGTGGGTCTTCTGCTGCTCTTGGTGGTGGATCAAGTGCTAGGTGCCTGGGAAGTCTCAAATGATCCCGTCTGGGGCTGCCAGCCAGGGGCCGTGGTCCTGATCCCGTCTGGGGCTGCCAGCCAGGGGCCGTGGTCCTTACAGCGTAGTGACTGGGTTCCAGAAGGAGCCTTCTGGAGGTGAAGGCAGAAGCTGCAGGTCTCTTGAGACCCAGCTCGGAGGCGACTTAATGTTAGTTCCTCTAGGTCACAGGGCCAGCCCAGATCCAAGGGGAGGAAAATGGACTCTACCTCATACCGGGGGTGGGCATCTCTGGAAACAGTCTACCCCACCAACCCACTTAGAACTCCCCTTACCCCCCTCCATGCCACCCCTGGTCTCCAGCTAACTCTGCCAGTTGCCATTGAGTTGATTCTGACTCATGGCGACCCCGTGTGTGTCAGAGTAGAACTATGCTTCATAGGATTTTCAAAGGCTGATTTTTTGGAAGTAGATTGCCAGGCCTTTCTTCTGAGACACCTCTGGGTGAACTTGAACCCTCAGCCTTTCAGTTAGCAGCCAAGTGTGGTAACCGTTTGCACCACCCAGGGTCTCCTGGCTAACTCTGATGGGGCCTTTAAAAACTTAGCTTGTGGATCATCTTCCAGGAACCCTTCCCCAAGGCCCAGGCTAAGCTAGATGTCCCTGCTCAGGGCTCTTGTCATAGGGCTTGTGTCCTGTGCCGACCTTGCCGTCGCCCTGCCCTCAAGAGGCGAGACTTGGTTCCCTCAGTGTCTGTGAGCCTGGCACGCATGGGGAACTCAAGCGGGTCTGCTGGACAGTGAAGGCCTGAGGGTCAGCCTCGCTTTCCCCTCAGGCAGCCTCCCTGAGCCCTGCTTCGCCCCACCCCCTGCTGGCATGCCGGCTGTGCCCTTTCAGTTGGGCCTTCCTGCCATCCCAGAGTGCTTCTGCTCACACGTTCGGCCCTTCTATCGATCCCTGAGGCAACTCTTCTTTGCCCATAGCTGGCAGCCCGGAGGGAGGAGAAGCAGGGCACAGCGCGGGCCCTGTGGTTATGGTCCTTCTCACTGCAGGCAAAGGTAATCGGGGTGCAGGATCTTGAGGACAAGGGCTTCAGCCCTGCCTGCGGGGAGGAAAGTACCTGGTCTTGGGGGTGAATGGGGCAGGCCTCACCTCTACTCTCCTTGGAGACCTGGGACGCCTGGCTGGGTTTTGTGCTGGAAAGGAGGAGAAAGAAGGTGCGGCTGGAGCAGGCAGTGCAGGCCTACCACCACCAGCTACTCCAGGAAGGCGTCACCCACCTCCTGCGGTTCACAGCAGGTGTGAAGGCCTCTCGGCAGCAGCTGCATGCCCAGCATCAGGCCCAGGTAGGCAGGGATCTCCCACCCTTCTCGTGAGCGGGGCAGACAGCTCGTGTCCCCCTGACCTCAGCATGTTGGCAGGCGGCCCACAGCCTCCACCGTGCCGTCCACCACTGCGCCATGCTCTGGAAGCAGAAGGTACTGGGCCCAGCCAGGGAACCCCTGTCCCCCACGCTCGCCACGCCCAGGAGAGTGACATCTGAAGTTCCCCTTCTCAGCCTCATGGCTGCTGGGGCTGGGGACACCACCCTGGAGACCAAGAGGCTGGGAGCAAGGCCTGAGCGAGGTGTGGGCAGCCTGGCCCTGGCTGCTGGGGAGCCCCAGCTCCTGGAACTGTGAGTAGCCCCCCTTGCCTCTGCCTCCTCATGCCCATCTCAGGCAAAAGCATTGACTGCAGGAAGGAGGAACAGTGGGCCCTGAGAGGGAACAGCACCGGCCAGCCACAGCCCCTCCACACATCTGAGCAGCTCAGGCCCCTGCCTTCCTCTCAGCATCACCTCTGCCCTCTGTCTAGGGTGGTGGTGGAGAGGATGGAGTGGGATTTCCAGACCTGCCAAAGCTCAGGAGATATGTGTCCCTTACTCTCCGATGCCTTCCTGCCCCTTTCCCCAAAGTGATACAAGTCATTGACAAAAGTAGTAGGCGGCACCTACCCTTCCCACCCAAACCTGCCAGTCTTCCCTCTTCTTCCTTTGCAGCCTAAGACATGATCCCTGTCCCCACGGTGAGATCTGGAACCTGCTCTGTGCCTGCCTCCCTGCTGGTCTCCCCAGTTCTACACCTACCCTCCCCCACCTCGCTGGCATGAGTGTCGGCTCCCATAGTAGCTAGCACTGTCTGGAGCCTCAGGTCTCGGTAGAGAGTCAGGCCTCATCCCTGCCTTGCCCCGCACTGTCCACCTCAGACAAGAACCCTAGTGTCTTGGAGGTGGTTTTCTCCCCCAGTCCCTTGGCCAGGGTGGTTTTAGAGGTTGGATGAGCCGCCATAGGGGAAGCCTCGTCACGGCATCGGTTACAGGCCACCAGCACTGCTGGGAAGTATTGTCTGGCCCAGATCTGCCCCAGCTTCCTTCTCTGGCCTTCAGTCTCTGTGTGAAAGTGGAGAGGGTTGGACTAGATAACCCCGTGCCCACAGAGATCTCAGGCCCCCCTGTAGCCCTCGAGTAACAGGCCCCATGTGTCTTCTCAGGAATGCAGCCCGCTCAGCAAGGAGGCAGCCCCGATACCCTGACTTCCTGCTAGAGCCCGAGCAGAGCCAGAGACCCCTGGGGTGTGATCCCTTTAGGGGACAACGGTAGGTCAAGTGGTCCTGGGCCTTCCCAAAGCAGCTGGAACCTCCATCTGGGGCCTCTTTCGGGATGGGGAGGCCCCTTTCCTCTCTGCTCCTCAGGCAAGAAGGGTTCTCAGTCCCCCAGGAGGGTACTGTGGCCTGACCAGGCTCCTGCCTTCCGTAGGCTCAGGCCTGAGAAGGTGCAGGAGCACAGCCTAGGCACAGCCCAGCCAGCCAGCGATTCCCTGCCAAGGCCCTTCCTGGTGGAGGCCCAGACAGCCCCAGCCTCACGCAGCCCCCTGTCCCAGCCCGGGGCCCTGCCAAGACCCCCTGGCCCAAGGCTGCCCCCCACGGCAAGTGCAGGTCCGGAGCTGGGGCTGCTGCCTCCTTCCTCCTTCATGCTGCGTGGGATAGAGACCCCTGCCAGGGTAAGTGGACCGGTCACCTGGGCCACTTCTTTGGTCTGGCTTTCTCTTCATTGTGCTTCTAGTTTCTGGAACACCCAGCTGGGGAAGACGTGAGGAGGCTACTTGTCCATTCACCAAGTGTAGGTGCCAGTGCTGTGCACACCAGGCCCCCAGGGCACAGCCGTGAGGGGCTGTGGGGTCCCTGTCTTTGCGGGCAGCTGAGAGTCTAGAGAGCAAACCCCCACATGCAGACAGGCAGTGACAGCAGATCACGCAGATCTCAGGCTAGGGCAGAGAGTGTGCACGGTGAGAATGGGGAGTCGCTGACAGCTTTTAACGAGCAGGGGAGCCGCGTTTAGTTTTTTATTCTTGATCGCGGCCTGGTGCTGGATGGCAGTTGTGGTGGCCTGGATGACAGTGGTGGCTGCAGAGATGGGGAGAAGTGGACAAGTCCTTCCTGGGGGGGAGGGGAGACAAGGTGGGCTGGTTCTGGTGGTGATGCCGAGAGGGGGAAGGGAAGGAAGGAACCGAGGTTCCAATAACTGGGTTTATGGTGGGCACTTTCACTGAAGGAGGGAAACTGGGTGTGGAGACTCTGGGGGAAACATGAAGAGTCTGTTTTGAACCTGTCACCTCTGAGAAAAAGTGAGCAGCAGGATTGTAGTGTGGCCTCACAAAGGGAGGAGGCAGGGCTGGGGTCTCCACTGGGGAATTCTCAGCAGCGGCTGAGGGCACAGCCCCAATGAGGAAGAGAGTAGCAGAGGGCGGAGGAGGAAGCAAAGCAGCCAGGGGGCATGAGCAAAGCCACTGGGTGCCCCGGCGCCATAGAGGAGCTGATGCGTGGGGAGGGGAATGGAGCCCGGTGGGGGCTGGCTCCAGTGGTGAGGGTGGTGAGGGACCCCAGCCCATTCTTGCAGCTGTGGGAGGGGGTGGTTAGGGGCACAGACACAGTGGCTGGGATGGGGTGTGGGGTTGAGAGGTTTTGTTTTGTGCACTGCCAGTGACGGGGTAGGGATGACAGGAGCAAGTCCATTCTCAACAGAGGGAATGAGGGGGGAACCCAGCAAAGAATTGTGATTGGAATTTGTGAACAACTGCGTTTGCCCACTTTGCTTATTGAAGTGCAGGCTCAGTAAGGTGGGGGCCAGGGGAGGAGGCTGAGGAGCCTGGTCTGGAACAGCTGTTTGGAGCAGTCAGGGCTAAGCCAGCCCCTGGGGAAGTGGGGTGGGACTGTGGAGGAGTAGGCTGCCCGGGAAGCCCAATCCCTGCAGTGATGGGGTGGAGATGGGGTCCGAGGACTGGTGCCCTCCTGGGCTTGCTTCTCTTTCCCCTGTCAGCTTCCTTCCCTCTTCCACAGATGTCAGCACAGCTTCTGCCCCAGGTACCCACATCCCTGGCTGGTGCCCCTGACCCCCATCTGCTCCTCCCTGGGGACTTCACAGGCACCAGGACCCATCCTGGACTTGGCTCTGAAGCGGCAGGTGTGCATCTGAGGCCTGGCTGTGCAGTAAGCACTCGCAGCTCCAAGGGAGGGGAGGGCTGCACCTGCCATCCCTCTATTCACTGGGTTCCAGAAGAAAAGGGGGAGGCTGTCAGGATCAATCAAGCTTACTTTGCTTATTCCCACAGGCAGCACCGAACTTGAGGTTGAGCTTGAGGGGATCCGCCAGCAATTACAGCACTACCAGGCCACCAAGCAGAATCTCTGGTGAGGCCCGGAGATGCCCTTCATGACAGGGCCAGCTGCCAGAGTCCGTGGGTGATTTTTCTAAGCTAGGGGTGAGGAGCCCATGGTGGTAGTGTCCAGAAACCCCCCCTCCCTGCTGTGGCCTGAGAGCCTCCACACAGGTGGTGGCTTTACCCCGTCAATCCTGCTGTGGCAGAAGCCAAAGTGATTTGGAGGCCCAAGTAGGCCAGCTCTTATGGGGGAGGGTAAAGCCCGACTTGGTTATGTGGCAACAAGGTGTGTAGCTGTGACACAGAAGACGAAGGTGCAGGGGCAGGAAATTGGTCACGGGCACAGAGCTCAGTGGCCCAGGCCTGGTGACTAGCAAGATGCAGCAGCGGCAGCCTCTGGAGATTTGAGGGGAGCACACTGGTCCCCTCACTCCCAGCTGTGTGGGGGAAGAGGGGCAAGGAGAGTGGGAGGCTGAAAGAGGACCACAGGGCTCGCACCTAAGGGCAGGGGCCCTCCACCCACTGCACCAGGACTCACTCCTCCCCCAGGGGGGTTTCCGGGAGGCTCTGCCAGGTCCCAACCTGGTGGGCAATAGGCATCTCAACCCCTCAGGTCCTGCCAGCGGCAAGCAAGCAGCCTGCGCCAGTGGCTGGAGCTGAGCCAGGAAGAGCCCACGTCTGAGGACCAGGAAGCGGAGCAGCAGGTGCAGAAAGAGCTGGAGGAGGTGAGGCCCAGGGTGCCCCCCACCAACCCCAGGGAGGCTCGGGCTGTGCTCCCACTCAGCCTGCCTCCTCCTGCCCACAGGTGGAAGTGCAGATCCAGCACCTGGCTGCTGAGCTCCGGGCCCAACGCCAGCCCATCGGTGTCTGCATTGCCCGTGTCCGGGCCCTGCGGGAGGCCCTGTGCTAGTGGCCTCGCCCCCAGAGGGCACCCACTGGGCTGTGCAGGAGGCTCAGGCTGCCTCCAGGAACAGAACACAATGCTGACATAAGGTTTTTTTTACTTTATTTCAAAATGTTAGCAATTAAATGAATTTACTGTTCAGAAGTCTCCCACTTTTCATACAAAAATACTGTGCTACTGATACAGTTGAAAAAGTTCAGTGACTTCTCCTGCAGGAGAAATTGACAGCGTCCCCAGGATCAACATGAAACCCAGTGGCTCCCCAAGGACTGCGTACCTGTTAGCTGGGGACAAGGTTTTCTAGGTACTGACTCCCACACACACTGAGGCCCCTCTTCCTCCATCACAAGCCCCTTGAAATCAATAGCAGGAACTTCCCTTTATTTCATGCAGGCCTGGACAATGGGGGTGGACACAAGGACAAGCTCTCTACTGTCCCAGGAGTTGCCCCAGCTGGGCCTCCACTCAAACACCATTCGGATACACCCAGTTACTGGTCTTGTCCCCCTTACCCAGCAGGCAAGTTTTGGAAGGCTGCCCATTGGGCCTGCAAAGGACCATGTCACTGCAGCAACAGTCTGCTGGTGTCACCATCCTCAGACGACATTGGCAAAAAAAAGAGTCCGTGGTGATGAGTTTAGTCACAGTGCAAAGAAGGAAGATTTAGCTTTTTCCACTGGGCAGGGTGAGGAGAACTTGGGGACAGTGTGGGTCCACAGTCAGTGCTGAGAGCACCTCACCCTGTGCAAGAGGCAGGCAGGGGGTAGGGGTGGGGGGCGGTGCCAGAAAGCAACGGGGCCAACAGGAAATGGCCAGGTTGGAGAGGAGCAGCAAGACTCTTGCCATTTACCATCTAAAAACAAAAAAGACCACCTGAACGCTCAGCCAGGAGAGGTAGCTCCAGTTTATATGACACGTTAATGAGCCAAAGTGTCTCATTTGAGATCATCCCTGCCTGTGCTTTTTTCTTTTTGTGGAGAGGAAGGGACAACAGGTAGTGGGCACAACCAGGGGCTCTACTCTCCCCGCTGTGAGGGTGAAACCCTCTTGTCGTCCCCATCTCTGGGGCAGATGGCAACCGTCATTGGGTCCTACCCGGCCCGACTCCACACGGCCCAGAGACAGCCCCTCACCTGGACGCCTTGTGGGGTTTCCTGTCTAATATACCCTCGCATTTCTCTCCCTTTGGAAACAATTCCTCAGCAGCCACAGCCAGGACGGGATCTAAAGGGAGCCCAGAGCCTCCCCAAAACGAATCTTCTGTCCTGCTTTCAGCTCGAAGTTGAAGTCCTTGGGGGCCTCAAAGATGAGCACGATGGTGGAGCCCAGGTTGAATTCACCCAGGTGCTCGCCCTTGCGCATGGGGACGCCCTCCTTGTTGGTGTGCGTCACGAAGCTGAAGTCGTTGTAGGAGCCTTTGCTGTACCGCGGGCTGTTTGTGTGCAGGTCCTGGGGGCAGGATGGGGTGGGATCAGACAGGGCCTGGCCACAGCTCTCACTGTGGGGGGACAGGACTAGAGGCACAGAGCCCCTGCAATACTGTATTTGGGGCAGGAAGCATGATAAAGGAACCCTTCTCTGCAGTGGTCAGCTGAGCCTCTAGCCTACCTCTCTGCTTCTTATCCCCACCACCACCCAGCCCGGCTCAGAAAGGGAGGTGGGGTCACAGAGCCCAATGGGCGCTGACACTTGCTCTACTCTCAGCGTGAATGGTGCTGCCAGACCAGCACCCATGGGAGCAGGTGGCCAGTCATAAAACGACACTAGACTCTCTGCTCATCCAGAGTGGCTACGCTCAGGGGAGGGCATATGCAGGGAGCGGCTGGCCTCAGCACTGGCTTTTCACAAGTCTGACCCTCCAATCAACATGACCCTTCCCAAGCTCGAGTTCTCTGCCTGTTCCCTCCTTATTCTCAGCTCTGCCCAGGTTCCTGGCAGAAGCCAGTGGGGAGCAGGCGCCTTCCCTCCATCTCTCCAGCCACCCTGAGACGGCGGGTGGAGGTGCTGCAGGGCAGGTGCTCAGGCCCTCACACCCTCCTGGAGTTTACAGTCCCAGTCCCAGCAGATCCTGCTGCCCAGGCAGGTGCGCCCTGGGAGCCAGCCCCAGGCTTCAGCAGGGCCTGGATTCTGCTCACCCGGTCAAAGTAAATGCGGATGGAACCCACGTTGGTGGCTCCCACGGCAGTCAGTGAGAAGAAGCCATGTTTCCAGTCCCCGGTCAGGACCACCCGCTCATTGTGGCAGAAGAGCTCCTTGATCCAGCGGGCCATGCCGGGGTTCACTGACATCAGGGAGCCTGTGGGGAACCTAGTGTGTCCATTTGGCACGGCCTGAGGCCCAATGTCATTCCAGATGCAGAGCTGGCTCCCCACCTCCTCCCCACACCCAGCAGCTAAAGCTCCAACAACCCACCCAGGACATCTGGTGCCTGAGGGAGGAGAAACTCCAAATCTGGAAGCTGAGTCCCCTGACCCCAAGACACTGAGGGCCTCTGAAGCCCGTGGGGCTGCCACCACCTGTAACCTTGAACCTTTCCTCCCCAGGCAGCCTCTGTGGGCCCTGGACCTACCTGGGAAGTGGCGCCGGTGGGAAACAGTCCAGTCAGTGGGGGAGTGGAAGCAGTGGTAGTCGCCGGGGGCCAGGTAGATGACACAGTGGTAGAGCTCGTTCCCTTCCCTGGTGACCAGCTGGCTCTTGAAGGAGCGGCAGGAGGTGGCTTGGGACAGACACGAGGGCCAGCTTGGGGCAGGCTCTCAGGTGAGCCCCCGTCCAGCCAGCTATCGTGAGCACCTGCTCAAAGCTGTGGGCAGTCTGCACCTGGACTCCAAGCAAGGGCCCCAAAAGCTTCGTTCGGAGCAGGCTCTGGCCCTTATTTCCTACAGCCTTCCCAGCTTTCCCTCCCCTCCCAACCTCAGCAGGACCGCGCCAGGCTCCAGCTGGCGATAACGCACCTGGTGGGAAGGGCAGGTCCTCCGTGGAGGTGCGTGGGCCCAGGAATGACTCCAGGGAGTAGGTGACCCCCTTTACCTGCTCCACCTCACAGTTCTTCACCTGCCCAAAGTTGAGGATCTTCCCATCTGACGGGCTGATCTGGAAGGGCCAGGAGAAGCTTGCTATGGGGGGTTGGGGGAGTGCCGGGGGAGACAGCCCACCTCATCATCTGCATGCACTACAACTCCACCCTCCCACCCAACAGGAGGCCCCCAGATGTAGGCAGGAGCCACGCTGTTTCCCATGGAGGAAGGGGCCTCACCACACTGTGCAGGCTGCACACAGGCCGGGCCTGCGGCTTCAGCTTGCGCCGGAAGAACTCGCTGAGGTTTCGGTAGTGGTGCAGGTCCTCCACGGCAGCCTCCTTCATGTTCACCCCGAAGGTCCAGATGTACAGGCTGTAGACGGGCCTGCGCAGCCAATGCGGCAGCTCCACCTGGTTGAGGCGGCCCCAGGCCCGTGACAGCAAGCGGGTCGGCACGGACTTGTACAGGGTCACCTGCAGGCCACAGGGCAGGGAAGGCAGAGGTTGGCACATGGCCCTGCAGGCGTCCAGCACCACGTCCAGCACCGGCCCCTCAGGCCTTTCCGCCAGACATAAGTCAGCTCCAGAGAGCCCACCCCCACAGGAGAGAACCACAGGAAGCCACAGGCGCCCCAAGCTGCTTTTGTGATGTGGCTGTTTCTCACTAGGAACCAGACTGAGGGTGCCAAATCCTCTCACAAACGCTAGGAGACTGCTGAGATGGCGATGCATTTACACACAGCTCAGTGATGACCTGGGGTCTCTGCAGTTACCTCACACAAAGCTCAGTGTCTGCATTCACCCAGCAGGGAGACTGGCCGGCAATCTCACCCTCCAGGGTGGGGACGACAGAAAGGATCAGACAGCAGCCACAGAGAGGTGGCATGCTGCCTTGTCACGGGCCACTCCCACATCCCAGACCACAAAAAGGAGCAGGAGGCCCCCAGGCACTGGACCCCATTAAACCCAGAACGTGTGCTCCTCGGACCCCTGACCAACAGATGCAGATTGGCTCCAGGTGCAGACACGGGTACCCCCAGCCCCACAGATTCAGCCAGCACTCCGAGGCCTGGAGCGCCCAGTGTGAGGAGCCTGACAGCCCGGCCTGCGTGCCAGGGGCCTTGTCCTGTGACCAAGCCAGTCTGCAGAGTCGTCTGCACTGGGGGCTCCTCCCAGGACAGGAAGGGGAATCAGCACCTTGCAGCCAAGCTCTCAGGGCCAGGTGCCCAAGAAGGGGCAGACTCCAGGTACTGCTGCCATAACGGAAGCCTCCTCAGACTGGCTGCTGCCTGTCTGAACACAACCAAGACATGAACTCCCCAAGGTTTAAAACTAATTCCATTGCAACTTTAAATACCTCTATGAGGTACTGAATTAATGGCTCCAAGAATTGCTCTTACCTCTCCCAGCTGCCACCAGGCTACCTGGAGCAGCCCAGGGCTGCCCTGTGACCCCGCCATTTTCAGGCACAGGCTAGAGCCTGGTCTCATGCTACCAATGTCCCTTAGTGCCCTTGAGCTCTCAAGCCCTACTGATACCCACCCTGGCTGTCCAAGGGCCTAGGAGCAGGTTTTCCTCCTTGGGGCACCAACCCCAAGGGCAATGGGAATAGCCCCGGCAGGCTCAGCCTTCCTATTTTGAACTTTTCTCAAAATCACTTCCTAAGATTTCTTCTGCCTGAACACAGAAAACTGGGGACAGACACCATTTTCTGAATCCCCAGTGTGGGTTCTTTCAGAAAACCAGTGTCTGTCCCCACAGCCATCTATCCACCTCTAATTTTGCCAACTCCGCTCCTCCTCGGGTCTTCCTGTGCCCCAACCTTAGGCCCAAGGAGGGAAGGCAGGACAGGCCATGGTGCCTCCGCAAACACTTACCCTGCTCACAGGCCTCCATCCCACCCGGCTGAGCGGTCTGAGGGCTCCAAAGGGCAGGAGGTAGTAGAGGACGGTGAGGGGCCAGGAGCGCAGTTTCAGGGCGGGTCTGGACATACAGCTCAACTGCCCCAGCCTCCGCCTCAAGGCCAGCTGGGGGAACTGCAACCTGCAGGGCACATGTGTAGGCACAGGCCTGTCAGCCACCAGAGGCTGGGGGTGCCCAGGAGGTCCCCCACTCCCACCCTGCAGCTCCGGATCCACAGTGGTCCACAGGCAAACCTCCCCTCTGACCGAGTGAGGAGGTCAGGAAGCACTAGTGTACCCCTCATCCCGACCCCACCTGAGTCAGGGCTGGCCTGCCCCTGGCCCGGCAAGCTGATAGCCCAGTCTCTCCCACCTCCAGCTGGCTGGGGGGCAGGGGCAGCTGAGGCAGTTCTTGAGAAGACAGCAAGGAAGTGTGGAGAGCCCCGACGCACACCCCTGGCGCCCAGAAGAGGGAGGGGAGCCCAGGGGCCAACTCTGTGCAGCACAGCACAGGGGAGCTATGACCCCAGCTGGCCAGGTAACCATGTGCTGAATCTTTTGCTCCTATCCCCTTGCAGAACGTGGAAGGACCTCTCCATGGCTCCAGGCCTTGTTTTCCTCATCTGCTAAGTAAAGGGATTGGGCCCGACAAGATCTCAAAGGAACAAACACGGTCCTAACAGTAGAGAACTGGCTACAGCTCCATCCACCCGCGAGGCCTTCCACAGCAGTGTGGCTCTCCAATGCCCACTCCCCACCACAGTGCTCAGGCCACCTCCACGCTCTCCTGGGGCTTCACTCCTGATCTATGTCCTTCCTTTCAGCACAGGTGGGTGGGCCTCCCCCAGGACCCACCAGCTGAAATTTAGTGCATTCAGCACAAGGTCAGCCTTGTGGGCCTTCTCCACACCTCTGGTCTCCTGATGCAAAACAATGAGACCCCAAGTCCCCTGTCACATGCCTATGCCCCCTCTAGCCATGGAGACCACACTGCCACCCACTCTGAGGATGCCCCAGGCCTCAGTTTCCTCATCTGCAAAGCGACTACATCAACTGGGGACTCTAAGGTTTCCCTTCTGTGATGGACTGTTCTCAAGAGAGGCTGTGTCCTTCATTTCCCAGTTGAACAAGAGAAAAAACAAAGAGTCATTTCAGCTGATACTAAAAGCAAAAAAAATGAGGGCTTCAGCCAGCACTGGGCCCCACTGTTCAGTGATGGCCATGGAAGACAGACTCCACGCTCTGGAGGGTGGCCTGTGGGGCCACAGGTCACCCAGATTCCCTGCTTTCACTCCTCTTCCACCCCACCCCCATTTTGTTTTTTAAAAGGTATGGGAAGGTGGTAGGGGCCAAGCAAAGACACATACTGCTGCTCTCCCCAGGGCTTCCGCGCCCTCCCTCCTCACTGCAGAAGCCGGGGCCCAATCCCCGCAAGGCCCGGTGCAGGAGCGAGGCAGAACCCCAGCCCTCGCCGGCCCCATGCACGCAGGTACCTGAAGCGGGCTCGCCGACTCAGGCCCGCCGGGCCCGGCCCCTCCAGCCGCGGGGCCTGCTCCCCCGGCGCCCAGCCGCCGCGGGGCCGCCGGACATGCACTCGGACCCTCCGGAGGTCGTGACGAGGCACAGGGGGGTTAGGACGCGGCCGGCAGCATCTCACCATTTCGCGGCCGCACGGAGCTCTGGTCCTCGGCGAGCCTCTGACTGACACATCGCAGCAGCGCGGGGCGGCGCCAGGCGCTCTGGCCTTTGTTTCTCCTCCTTCCTCCCTTCCCCCCAGCCACAGGAGCGCTGCGCTGTCACTGTTCCGGCTAGGCCCTGCAGGGCGGCTTGTCTCAGTGGCTCACAGGGCACAAGTTACAGGGTGGCCGCTGTTGCAAATGGAGAGCATTGGGTCACCACCTGCTCAGGTAACCCATGCAGAAGCCCCTGTACACTTCGTCCCCAGGGCTCGCCACCCCCAGGTGGGCGGGGGAGGGCCCCAGGCAGCCCGCAATTTGACCCGCCCTCCAGGACCAGGAGGCAGCGTCGGCCTGTCTGGGCTGGAGGCTGGGCCCTCCCTCACCGGGACCTGACCCATTTTCGATTCAGGTGACAAGGTAGCATCTGAGGGATGAGAGGAACGGGAAGCTGGGCCAGATCTGCGGTGGCTCTCTCGTTAGTGACCCCTACCCCCAGGGGCCAGGACATGCCACTCCAGTGTACCTCGCTTTAAGGCCCGCTCCGAAGATGGGAACCTGGGCCACCTCATGGAAGGCAGCAGGGGGCTAGGAGGGAGGGCCAGAAAGGAAGCTCAAGGCAGCCCTCCTACCCCATTTCCTCGCTTTGCTTCAAGAAAGCACTTTAGCCAGCGGCCCTGCCTGGCTATGTGGGAGGACACACCCAGCCTACAAAGCCCTTTCTACTCCTGTCCACGCACATAACAGGAGGGAGAAGAGCAAACATTCCACAGGAGTTGCTATCTCAGTCCAGGGTAATCGAGGCCTCTGGCGATGACATGGGCTGACCAGAGCCCGCCCTGCAGGCCTCCAATCCCAGGGCACCCCTAGAAGGGGGCAGATGCCTGTAGCCACCTTCAGATGGAGAAACGTGGCCCCAAGATCTACTGTCAGAGGCCGTGAGAAGTCCCAGACTCAGACCCCAGTCCAAGGCCCAAGCTGAGCCGCCAGCATGACCAACTCACACCCTGGTAAACCCACCTGAGCCACTGAGATGAAAATTCCCCAGGCCTGGCACCTGCCTGAGAGAGATGTTGAATCCCCTGGGTATGCTAGTAGCTTCTGGGCACCAGGACACTAAGGCCAACTAAGGTGTGGCCAGAAGCATGGATTTCTCCCCCTGACTGAGAAAGTGGAAAGGCCTGGCCCAACCCAGCCAGGGCCAGTCCAGACCCCTCACCACCCAAGCTCACCTTCTCCGGCAGAGAGGGACCACTCGATTCCAGGTGGGCCATGCCTGGTGGGCCTGCTCACCAGGCCTCACCCAGCACACAGATGCACCCATAAACCTCCTCCCCCAGGAAGATGCTGGAGCCGGGGGATCGGCAGACTTATGAGCCCCATCCTGTCCTGAGGGCCAGGCCCATGGACACCCAACTCCTGCCCCAGGCCCATGCTGAGCCTCCCACTAACCTTCCTACCACAACAGTCATGTCACCTCAATCAGACCAGCTCTCTACTGAGCACCCACCGCCCAGCCCACCAGGCCACTGGGCTCCACGGAGGGCTCCCGCCACGCCCAGGAGCTGATTGTTTTACACAGGGAAACAGGCTCAGAGGGTCCCAAAGAAGGCAGCCAGGGCTGAGTCTGGTGCTTGGCTCCAAAGTCGAGGCTCTTTCCCTAATCTAGAGCTCAGACTGAGCACACAGATTCAGGGCAGGAAACAAGGTGGCCTTGGGGGCTGAGAGGGGATGTGGAATAGTGATACTGCAGCACCGTCGGAAAGGCACATTAAGGAGACCTCAAAATGAAAACAGAGCCCACAGACAAACCCAGTCTGGCCCCAAACCTCAGGTTCTCAAAGCAGTTTCATGTGTGAACCTTTGCATTTTATTCTCCTACAGCGAGTGCTGCAAA